AAGTACTCTCCTGCAATGCAACTTTTGGAGATCATCAAAACAAAGCATTCGGAGCGCCCACATTCATTACTGAACACTTAAAGGTGATAGGAACTGAAGCAAATGAAGCATTGGCAGGCCTTAGATCAATTTGTTTCACCTCTCTCCCATTGAGCAAGTTTTTTGTCGTTTTTTTTCACCAATTCAAACGATATTTAATATATAAATCGACTACATAATCTGTGTGTTCACTTCGAGTTCCAATATAATGATAGCCATAAAAAATGAAAGGAACTCCATCTCACTGTGGAATAGACACCATTCTGTTCGAAGATAGGATTGCTGATTCCACCACCGAGTTCTTCGAACAGATCGACTCCTCCAACAACCCGTTTCAAATCACGGTGCCACTGATCTGAAACCAATTCACAGCCCCTTGACCTTTTTAAGTACTGTCAAAGCAGACATTCCGGAGCTATTCCGGATGTGCTTCTTCCTCGAAATTGAAAATCAGCAGATTGGGAAAAACAAGGAAAACAATAAATTTGGAAATAAAATAGCGATAGGGTACGGTCTCCAGGCAAGTCTGTCTTTATCAAAAGTGCCTTCAGAATCCCCCCAGTTCTTTAAAATAAATGAAAATGGGTGTCAGACTTTGAAATTGATTCCAAACCATGCACGAAAACCCTTCCTGCCCCAAGGTTTTGGAGCATAAATAAGGAGCGCTATCTGCTTAAAACACCGCATATATATTCGAAAGAGCACCAGCTAAGATTATCTGGTAATAGGCCTTAATTAAATATTTTCTTAACAACTCTACAACATCAACAGAGCTAGATATCGACTATTCCCAGCATTTAAATTTCTCTTGGGTACCTACTTCATAGTATAGGTTATCGCGGAAAAAATCACTGGGTCAATGCCTGATTGTGTCTTCTTGAATTTTAGTCAGGAAAGTACAGGCTCTCGTTAGAATAGACAGGCAAATTTCAAAGGTATGTGTTAGTTTTGAAAGCCTCAGCCCGCTCCCCTCTTCATGAATCCACTCAGGAACAGAAACGAAGAAGGTCAACTCAAAATATTGGTATGATCCCCATTTGAGAATCAGAGATCCCTTTCACTCAGAAGTTCACGCTACAGCATTATGAGAAAGCCGGCCTCGGTGGTCATTATCCAGGCCCCATATACATTAAAACGTCCATAAATGAAAAATGGATAGACGGAGCAGGTGTTTTCAAAAAGGCATTAGTTCCGTGGTGGGCGGAAATGGCTGAGCGATATTCATCAAGAACTCGACATAACCAAAAGCTGCCTCACCTGAACTATGATTGAAGTATCCAGCTTGAGGTCCATAAAACCCGTAGAAATAATCGAAACCTCGTGATGTGGGCAAAAACTCTTTCCGACAATAGCCAAGGTGCCATTTACCCACGAGATACGTTGAATAGCCAAGAGAACGGAGATTTTCTGACAAAAATGGGAAGAGCAATGGCACACCAGACGGTTCCATATGCAGGAATACACCATTCTGTAAATGATTTCTTTAAACG